CTATACAAAACTATAATACTGAACTATAGCCAAAATATCATATCCACATCAATACCATCTCTGTACGAAATTACCCTATCAAATAACAGCCAAGTATCATATCAATGCCATCTCTATACAAAACTATAATACTGAACTATAGCCAAAATATCATATCCACATCAATACCATCTCTGTACGAAATTACCCTATCAAATAACAGCCAAGTATCATATCAATGCCATCTCTATACAAAACTATAATACTGAACTATAGCCAAAATATCATATCCACATCAATATCATCTCTGTACGAAATTACCCTATCAAATAAAAGTCAAGTATCATATCAATACCATCACTATACAAAACTATAATACTGAACTATAGCCAAAATATCATATCCACATCAATACCATCCATGTTCGAAACTACTCTACCAAACACATAATTTTAGTACCATGTATTCTACGTTTATATAAAATAGAATGATATATATACACACATATACTGTATATTTATTTTAGTTTTATTAATAAAATATTATTTTGTCTAATACACGTGTTGCCACAGTCTGCGGGAAAACACCAGAAATAATTTTAACAGTTACACATTTCTAAATTATGTCAAACCTTCAACATTTCATTATAACAATTCATGGTTACTGAAGTATCTGCATACAATTATCTACAGTACATGTTGAGAATGGAAGCTAGAAGGAAGATGAAATGAAGTTTTTATTTAAATTATGTTTCTGTGAGAAGCTCAGGAAATCTTTTATTGTCTCATTTAGTGGCTTATATTCACAATAAAACAATATAATCTATCTACCATTATTCAGAGAAAAACAAGAAACTGTACAAGAGCGTTAACTTTATTATACATTATTTGGATTAATTTTTTTTCGTTAATTTCATTTGAACAGATATGAATAAATATGAAGAATGGCCATTGACGTTCAAAGTTTTTTCTGGCTTAACTCCTATAACATTTTGATCTACATAATAACGTCATTCTAAAATCTAAACTTTAATGCACAACTTGCTATAATGTAACATGTACTACTTTTTCAAAGTTTAGTTAATCATAGAATGAATTATGACATCTAAGCTAAATACACCGATGTTAATAAAAGTTCTTTGAATATATATGAAATTAAACTGTACACCCTGGCACATTTGGATCAGAGTTTGCGTTTATAAGTTTGTTGTTCAATGATTACATACAAATTGGGGAGAAGATAAACAGGTTGTCATATCTTCGCTCACTAGTATTTGTCTACTATAAACCATAACCATTTTTATGAGTAAATTGAGACTTTCAATAACAACCCCCTAAAGCTTTTTGATTAGTCAATATCTTGATCATGTGACTTTCCTGCAAAATAAACAGTGAATTATTTTAAAAAGTAATTTTGATTACAGTTTATTTTTAACTTGGTAAATAGAATGAATTTAGTTGTAAAGGGAAATAAGTTACATATATGAGGAGTTTCACGATTATTGCTAACTTCAAATATTTATAGCTCTAAAATCATAAATAATATTCAATGTTACACTGGTACACAATTTTTTTGAAGGCCATAGATAGGCCAAATAAAATGTTTTTGTTGACGACTCTACATGTTTCGACGTTACAACGTCATCCTCGGTCCTAAATAAAATGTTTTTAATTGTGTACCAATTTAACGTTGAATATTATTAATGATTTTACACCCATTTTAGTTGTTCTGAATAGTACGTTTACTTATCCTTATTCAGGAAACCCACGGCCAAATCTTACCTGGTGGCGAGAATCTGTCTTACTCGATGATTCATATGAAATAATAGACAATTTTGAAGTTAAAAATGTACTGCAAATTATACCGTTACAGCGTCATGACCTCATGGCTGCATTAACATGCCAGGCAACTAATAATGACGTTATACCACCGTCACAATCAACAGTTACAGTTGACATGAATTGTGAGTATAATAAATATACTGTAATATCTTGTAATGTATTTTGAAAGAATAAAGAATAGCAATAGTCAAATAAATCAATGGTCTATAAAACAGGGTAAATGATGTTACATAAGACTCATTGTCTGTATGTCAGAGTAAGAGTTGTGATACGGATGTAGGATGAAATGATACGACAAAACTAGTAGTAAAAGATCAGTAGTCTAAATGACAGGATAAAGGAAATGTCGGGATCTATAATAGTGGATAAGAACTGGGATACAGGATAAAGGGTCCGAATGATAGGACAATATTTGCAGGATAAAATAAGTAGTTACGACAGAATGAATTTGTCTGGTATATTTGAATCTGTCGATACAACAACCAGGCTCTTACAACAGCACCACTGGGACAGAAGCAGACAGTTATTTAATTGAATATTACTGCAGGTCTTCACGCGATACTTTCCCCTTTTCTGATCAAAGAGGTCAACTTCAGCCATTCCCTAATTGTACTCTCCAACAATGAAAAGGTGGGGCACATCCTTCTTCTATTTTAATGTTATGCTATAACGCTTGCAGGTTGTACCAGCCCGTCAGTACAATTTGTTGCAACATTGACATGCCTTTTATAATACCGTCTGACTAAGATTATTCTAACACAATTATCTTGCAGCTCATCAGGAGAACCCTTTTTAGATCCGTTAGTGGAGACTTTTTTTTTTTCAGATGATCAACTTTTATGCTTGCAGTGATTCTGAAATTCTGAGGCTGGATTTGTTGGAAGAGATTTACTGGCTGTAATGAAATAATCAATCATCCCCTAATTGTTTGATAGTACGAAACAAACAACCACTTTGTTAGGGTGGTGAATGAACTTCCAAATGTGTCACCTTCTGCTAACTTTTATCTGCCTTCATATGACTTGAACATCATGCATCAATACTTGAATCCAAACCTTATTGGCTTCAAATAATGGTGACGAAAATATAATTGATGGCCTCCTCAAAGCTCCAAATACTTAGAAAGGGGTTGGTAGAGAGACTGGAACCTGTTACTGGAGTACTTTATCAAAGGACAAACTTGTAAACTGAAGTGTAAATATTCTTGGATTCTTATTAATATATCTATGAACATGACAAACAGCAGTAATGCTCACATCAGAGTCAGTTGTCCAATATGAATTTTTAGTTGGCAGCTTTGATTAGTCAGATTATATTCGAATCCCAAAGACATTATGTAAGTCTTCTAAAGTCACAATAAATTTCACATCAGGACGCTGTTGAAACCCATCCACATGATCTGTTCATAATTTTATGAAAATAGCTGGAATATTTTCATCGGACGATATTTTATGATCAGGATCTCGTGGAATATCATTGTGAATTTTTTTCTGTTTGCCAGACAAAATTTTGTTTTCATGCATGAAAAGGTGCAATAATGGGTACGGAAGGCCCTGGAATACTGATGTTTCGTTGAACAACTAACTAGAATTAGTGAATAAAAAAGAAAATATATAATTTAGAAACAAATAGTAATTAATACTGTGCAGACAGCATGTCAGATGTTAGTTACATTTAAAAACATAATAATAATTACAACACAGAAAGCGTAAAATTCATAGCATTCACTGGCAACAAGAGTTACAACTTATCTAATTCATGTGATCCGTGCCCTTATGTCCTGAAGGTAATTTCTGCAGGTTTTGCAAGAGTTTTGTTTCCAAAGATAGTAGGTCGTAGACATCCCAGAGAACATTATCTATATCAGAGCCCCCTTCTCCAGCACGCAGTACAACACCAACAATATTAACATCATCATCAATCTTGTAGTGGATATCATCATGCAAACTCCAGAAGTAATTGAGACTAGAAATGTTTTCCTGGAAACCATTATACCATTGGATGACATGTCCCTTAAAAGGCTCACAAACTATGGTAAACATAAAACAATATATCATGATAAACAGACAGGTGTAGGAGAGCTAATTTCAAAGTGAAGATGCTTGGAATTTGAGGCCATTGGAGCACTCGCTAAGACTACCGTATGATATATAATAAGAAACATTTTAATCTTCTGTTCCTCAAAAATACATGAACAAAGGGCCACCATCTTCTTTGTTTAGCGGTCCATAATATTGGTCATTATCCTTTGCAACTCTAATAAGTATAAAATTCTGATATAAAGTATTACCTTGTATCCCAAATTTTGTCAAATTCATATGTAACGTAGTCAAACAATATTAGACACATCAATATACCATTCAAATAAACAAATTAATTTCTACAATACCAAAGTATAAGCGTGAAATGGTATCAGGCTTGAGTCCTTTTTGTGAATGATGTATCATACGTTAGTCGTTTAGTCCTCCATCAGTTAAAGCCTTGAAGCTGAATGATAAATCTCCACTACTATTCTACTTACTTCGTGTTTTGTTTAAATATTCTGGACATTTCAATGTCATTACTTGAAAGTCGTTTTTGTTTATATCTCCAGTTAGACCGCTGGAAGTTCACATAGAAGGTGACAAGCGACCTTTATCAGCTGGTATGGCTATCAAGATTAAATGCAGTACCGCAGGTTCCCGGCCTCCTGCTGACGTAACCTGGTGGAAGGAAGGTATAGAGTTAAAATCAGCCAAATCCATCATTTCAGCGAATGGTAACTCCACAGTCAGTACGCTGACCTTGAAACCATCCATTGGAGATGATGGGAAAATGGTGTTCTGTGCTGCTGCGAATAGGTATATTCCTGGAAGTACGATAAAAGCCAGTTGGAAATTAAACGTTATGTGTAAGTATAATGATAACTGGTAAGCATACGAAAGAAAGACACGAGGATATAACATCCTGATGAGACTTGTTTGAAGATAAAACATAATAGGAAAGAGAAACACAAAGGGTACAATTTATAATTACTTCCTTTAATTAAGATCATTCTATATAAAATACGGTTTAGACGCCAAAAACTGTTGTTGTTTTTTATTTATTTACGTCACTCATTTTAGGCCTGTTGGTTTCTAATACTTTTTAAGGTATTATACTACATGTATAAACAGGCCAACTGACGAGTTCTGGTGTTGAACAAAAGCCTTCTTGGGTAGTTATTTGTGGAAAACAAAAGAAATATTTGAAATGTTATTTTTACACGCCTCTGACTTTGAATCCGAAATGGACAAATTAAAATTAATGTGGAAACAATATTTGCAGTCCCTGTTCTTTATCAGAAATATTAGGCCTATTAATTCTATATAGCTCTACAAAAACGTTTGTAATGAAGATTTTAGTTAAATAGACATTAATACATTAGGTTGTTAAGACTGTCTACCAACAGGACTCTGTGACAAAAAAAAAGGAAATGAGAAAAATTAAAATCGTTTTATTATATGACTACACCAAAGTCTTAGACAAATTATATTGAAATACAATCTTTTATAAAAGAGTGACACCATAAAGCTTACAAACAAAAGACATAGTCTTAGACAAATTACATTGAAATACAACCTTTTATAAAAGAGTGACACCATAAAGCTTACAAACAAAAGACATAGTCTTAGACAAATTACATTGAAATACAACCCTTTATAAAAGAGTGAAACTAAAAAGCTTACAAACAAAAGACATAGTCTTAAACAAATTACATCGAAATACAACCCTTTATAAAAGAGTGAAACTATAAAGCTTACAAACAAAAGACATAGTCTTACACAATTTAAATTGAAATACAACACTTTATAAAACAGTGAAACTATAAAGCTTACAAACAAAAGACATAGTCTTAGACAAATTACATTGAAATACAACCCTTTATAAAAGAGTGAAACCGTAAAGCTTACAAACAAAAGACATAGTCTTAAACAAATTACATTGAAATACAACCCTTTATAAAAGTGTGAAATTATAAAGCTTACAAACAAAAGACATAGTCTTAAACAAATTACATTGAAATACAACCCTTTATAAAAGAGTGACACCATAAAGCTTACAAACAAAAGACATAGTCTTACACAATTTACATTGAAATACAATCCTTTATAATAGAGTGAAACTATAAAGCTTACAAACAAAAGACAGTCTTAGACAATTTAAATTGAAATACAACACTTTATAAAACAGTGAAACTATAAAGCTTACAAACAAAAGACATAGTCTTAGACAAATTACATTGAAATACAACCTTTTATAAAAGAGTGAAACTATAAAGCTTACAAACAAAAGACATAGTCTTAGACAAATTACATTGAAATACGATCCTTTATAAAAGAGTGAAACCATAAAGCTTACAAACAAAAGACATAGTCTTAGACAAATTACATTGAAATACAACCCTTTATAAAAGAGTGAAACCATAAAGCTTACAAACAAAAGACATAGTTTTATTTCGGAAAAGAAAGTTTGTTTTTATCATTATCAAACATGTTTATTCTGCACCACATTTTTTTCAAAATCGAAGCGTCTTTAGTAGTTGTACTGAATGAAAATGTCATTTATTTAATGTAACCTAAGAAATTAATTACTTGAATTATTATAGAAATATATATTTAAAAACAGTGATATTGAGAATCTAAGAATAGAATTATTGTGTTTATTTTTATGTACACGTTAATCCAAATTCGATTACAAAGAAGTAAATAGTAACGGATATATTTTTTTATTCACATTGAAAAACATTCAATAGGCTTTTTAAATTCTTAATATGTGGGATTAGTCATAAACTATTTTCTTTTCAGACTGTTTTAACTGGTTCCTTTAATAAACACATAGTACCTTTCTTCAGTAATATTACGCAATATATATATATTGTTAAATGTCATATACTAGTCTAATAAGTATTCTCCTAATTAAAAGGCTTAAATAGGGTTAGCTAGAACGTTACTTTTTCACACTGTGATTTTTTTTTAACAACTTGACAGATCCACCTCAACTCATCTTAAGATTAGGAAGAAAAGTACGTCATTTACCAATACACGAAGGAAATGATGTAGACCTCGAATGTATTATTCGGGCCAATCCTCCAGTTACAGATATTGGTTGGAAGTTTGAACGTAGAGATATTCTAGCCAATCATACAGCTGGAATTACCATTGACAATAATACTCTAATTATTCACAAAGTGCAACGTTCCAACAGAGGGCGATACTTGTGTACCGCAACAAATAGTGAAGGACGCGGAGAAAGCAATACCATCTTCCTCCGGGTACAGTGTAAGCAATTATTGTGAATCAAATTTTTTACTTATTATACCATCTTCCTCCGGGTACAGTGTAAGCAATTATTGTCCGGAGGAAGATGGTATAATAAGTAAAAGTTTGATTCACAATAATTGCTTACACTACATCCAAACTTCAAGTGAGCACATTCTATTTAAGATCATTATTTTGTTTTATCAACCAACGGTTTGAATGAAGAATAGTAAAAAAAAAAAAAAACAAATGAATTCACTAGAACACAATGTTGTTGCCTCGGACGAGATATTAATTAGTGGCTCATAATTGTAAAGACTTATCCAATTAATTACAAATGAAGGATTACTTTTGTGTTTCTTCAAAAGTTTCACAATTTTTCTAGCCTTTATTAGACATGTACAAATAATCGATTTACTCAGGAATTAGAAAGCACTTATTTATAATGACAGCTAACCCTTGCCTTTATATGGGAGGATTGTTTAGAAATTTCTTAATACTTTTCAGAAAATCATTGGCAGGGGAATGGAAGAACTCCTCGAATAGACAGCTATTGTTTGTTTGTTATTTTTGTTTATTATTTTGTGTTGTTATATTTTAGTCATTAACAAAATATTTTTCTTTTGAATGTGAATACTACAAATACTTGAACGCTTATAAGTGCATTAAGATCTCGTATATTACTGAGCAGTGTGGAGTTTAGGAGCAAATGAATGTTGTTTTGTGTGTGTCTTGTAAGAAATAATGTGCTTCATTCTTTGTTATAATTAATTGGGTTAATATTATTGGTTATAAAGCTAAAAAAATGTTGATTATTTCATAATTAAATTTTACATGTTCAGTATTGGAAATTATGGAAACAGTGAATAAAACAGCTAGAAAATCAAAATATTATGGAATTTCCTCCCTCTCTCCCTCTATTATGTGAAAACAAACTGCACCAGAGTCCAGTCAGGAGTTGAAAGCTTATACTGTGACAGGCTATCATCCAACCAATCAGACAGCACCACATCAGCTACCATGATACCCATAAAAGTATAGATATTACTCCCGGATGTAGTTTACTGAGTGCACTCGTTGCTACTAGGATATAATACCACGTGGCAAACGAACAGAAAGTGATGTTTTAGTTTTGGTGAAAGCTACTTCATACAGACTGGGCAAAATTTCATTTCAGTAGACGTATATAGCAAATCTGAAGAGTGTACATGTTGGATAGAGTTTCATCTTACAACATGACAGTGACTCCCCCAAAATGCTGAAAATGTGGTGAAGTATTACCCAAAAAACAAGAGGCCTCTGGAATACTTAATACCATGGTTTGGTCCGAACAAAGTATCGATACTATTATTTGTATTAAGATGTAGCAGCAAAAGTATTGGCAGTAGGGGGTGCTTTCTGTTACCTGCTTTTAACACCCAGCTCTTAATGTCCTTCAACATTATTTCATCTGATTAATTAATATACGGTTATTTGCCGCAGAAGTGTCTTACGGGCCGAAGATGAAAGATAGTATAACTCCAAAAACGGCTCTTTATATCAGCCTTATGGTGGCTATTGGAGTAGAACTTCATCCGAATTTACGTATTATTACAATAGTGACGGCCATGTTTTCATTGCATTCCTCCATGGAAAGTGATAGCACACTGTATGAGATATATATATGACATCTGTGTGTATGTTACGTTATAGAAAATTTAATAAAGTTATCTTTTCGATATAAAGACGTGCCACCATCTATGAATGTAGTTAACTTTAACTTACGTCAAAGATAATAAATGCTCAATAACAGCAATAATGGAGTGGATGGGTTGTGAGCCCCTATTAACATGCCCTTGTTCCAAATTATCGTCCCTCAAAGTTTAGTTGAGATTGGCCCTGCGACCTAGGAGTAGTTAGATAATGAACAGCCAACAGAGAGACATGCAGATTGTTTTGTGATTTATATATATAGATAGATAATGGATAATATCGAACTAACCATTTTGTAGAAAATATTCATTTTTACAGACTTCTGTACGTGAATCACCTGTACGTTTTTATAATTATTTCCAATAAAATACGAGGATTATTTTGCATTATTAAAGTGATGTATTTCACTGTTGAGGTTCATTAAAAGTTACCTTATATCTGCCAGTTTCAAGTATATATACTGGATCCTCAATAATTAATTTAAAATGTCATTATTTTACCTGCCAGAAACAAGTATGTTAAAATGAAAATGTATTATATCATGTCTTCGCTCAATTTAATCGTAAAATGATCCCGGAACATTGTTCTCATTTTACACCTTGCTCTAGTGTACGCTTCACCTGTCTCATAAATTGAGAAACAAAATCATTATAATGAAATAATATAATCTAAGTTTTCTTTGTTTCTTTTCGGATATTCGCACAAAGGTACTCAAAGGTTCTTTGCTTTAGGCGTCCTTAATTTTGAACTGATGATATACTAGAGGGAAGGAAGCTTGTTAACAGCACTCACCACCAACTATTGAATTACTCGGGTCTCGCCAAAGAACGAAATTTGACCGTCACTCATATAACGAATTGAAATCTCAAAGTGTGGCGCGGTTTTCTTTTTCTTTTTGTTGTTGTTGTTGTTTGTTTTGTTTTGTGTGTGTCTGTGTTTTTCTTCAGCGAAGGAAACGCGTATATAAAGATTTTGATGTTTTAGTAATGACTTCTGGCTTTGATCCTCAAAACAATAGCTTCCTCAATAAAAAATTAATAAAGGTAGTGAACCAAAACATAAAAAATGAAAAATATTATTTAATATTATGACGTCCATACTAGTGTTCTTTCTTTTGGAGCCAATCATGTAACTAAATTACGAAAAGAAAAAAAGAAACGAAAATATGCATAAATAAATATTAAAGACAGCTGATACAATATTATGATGTCCATACTAGTGTTCTTTCTTTTGGAGCTAATCATGTAACTAAATTACAAAAAAGAATCGAAAATATGGTTAACTAAATATTAAAGATAGCGGATACCATAAAATAATTTAAAAAAAGATAACTGAACGAAAGCCAGCGATGTGAATTCTCGAAACGAATACAAATAATCTTCGTGGATTTCAGATTACTAGATGCCTGCCAGGATATGAATGTTCAATTGTATGCTTTAATCCCTCCCTTCACCATTTTTTTGTGGATCGACATGAAAGCTTAGTTACTGATTTGTATTAAATGGTATAATGACTTTCAATTTCACGTTTCACTGGTGAAACTATTTTTCGTACAAATTATTAAATGACGGGTTCCTATAGCTAAATATCCAACTGTAATTGAACTGGAAAATCAAGTTTAATTTATCTAGAACCATTTATCGAAGAGTGGGGTTTATTTCAGAAAACGGTAAAGTAACGGGATGATAAAATAAAGCAACAGAGTAATTTAGATTGTTTGTTTAAAGTTAAGCACAAAGTTACACAATGGACTATCTGTACTCTGCCCACCACGGATATCGAAACCCGATTTCTAGGTTTCTAATGTTGTAAGCCCGCAGACATGCCGCTGTGCCACTGGGGGGGGGGGGGGCAATTTATAATGACAAATAGTACATACACAGTAGAGTTTGTGTTCGGATTTTATCTATACACGCTCTTTTATTTTGAATAGGTTTATGGGCATATATATATATATACATACATATACATACCTATAGATCAAGTTAATCTATAGCTGTAGTGGTATAGATCAGCAGTTCTCGAACTTTAGTAACTCCGGGGACCCTTTTTAATTTAAAATAAAATTCGCGGACCCCCCCAAACCCATCAATGTTTTTTTTTTTTGAAAAGTTGTATTCCAAAATTTTTTTTTTCTATTTCTGTAAAACTTTTTATGAAATTTCGGATATGAAACGTGGGCCCCAGTTTGAGAAATTTTCTTTTCTGTTTCTCTGATATGAGTATATTTATGAATGACTGTATATGTGTACGGGTAGATTCGTAGCGTTTTGAGAAGGCTGCTCTTCAATCAACAGCTATTTAGATTAATATTCGAAGAACTATAAAGTTCTAGTTTTATCTATATTAATTCTGTTATCTGAAAGAAGAAGAACAGATCCTTTAACACATTACTGTTCTTTCTGTTTATCCAGAAAGACCTGACATTAAATCGTACTCAAAATATCATCAATTTCTGTCTTCGTAAGAAACGGAAGCAAAAAATTTAAAATATATTTAATTAACTCATCTTTAACTCTATCGAGACAACCCTTCACAATATTTCTGCCCCGTGTTGTTATAAAAACAAACACTGTCATTGTTACCATATCTATATTTAGCATATTATCACTAATATGTAAATCCTTCCTTTATTTTTTTGACAGATTAACTGAAATGATAAATTTAACCAAAGAAAATATTCAATTTTGAGAAAAATTGAATTAAGTTCCATGTTATATTGTTGGGCCTGGCATGGCCTGGTGGTTAGAGTGCTCGACTAGCGATCTGCAAGTGAGGGTTTATAATGTGACTATCAATCCCACTATTGCCTTTCCCTCTAATCGATCACTTTTAAATCAGGAAGGACTAGCGCAGATGGCCCTCGAGTAGGTTTGCGCAAAATTCGAATCAACGTTATATTGTTGGAGTTTCAAATCCTGATTTGACCCAACAGCAAACTCATTCTAAACAATTCTTTCAGTAAAAAAATATTTATGTTATAATTTTTAAGTTAAATTACTAAGGTCCTTTATTATATAGAATTCCTTAGTAAGATTACTAAAGTAAATGAAAGTTTTTAACGCAAACTTTTATTGTCACTAAGCTTCTTCGCGAATAAAACCTTCTGGCGAGGACGTTGTCTCTAATTTTATTATTGTGATGCCCAAAGGTTCCACTGTGAAGCTTGGCTCAATACTCCTTTACATAAACGAGAATTTTGTCCATAAAACTGTACTTGAAATCTGTTTCAGTAATAAAAGCCTCTTTCTCCACTGCGGTTTGCCAGATAAGTAAGACTCGTATCCTATTTTATCTAGATCTTGAAAAGGATTGCGTATATGTGTTACAGAATTCTGATCAAAATTTGTCTGTTTATCTGGGTTGCGCCTAACCAAATCCAGCTGTTTTCTTTTTGTTGTATTTTCAGCCATTCATTTTACTTTTCCTAAATATAAAAGACTATGTATATCTTCTTCCTTTCAAGTACCTATAGATTTACTCTTTATCCATTAAATGATAAAGACTAGACTAATCAGTTTGAGTACATTTACCTCCCCCACAGAAGGTGACGGAGGTTATGTTTTCACCCCTGTGTGTGCGTGTTTGTCAACAGGATTTCTCGAAAACAGCTGAATGAATTTGAACGAAACTTAGTAAACATTGGAACTATGATTAAACGTAGAAGTTATTAGTTGTTGGAGGGTCAAGGCCACGCAAATAAAAAAAAAATCCTCATCTGTTAACATGGGGTCCGATTTTTCACGTTATTTTTGCTGTATGACTCAGTCAAAAATGATCGGATTTTGATTAACTTGGTGGACATATGTCCTGCCAAAAATGTTCCGTGTCTGTTGATAACGACGGAGATACGGATACATTTTCGAATTTTTTGAGAGCCGAATATGATTCAAAATATTTTTTCAAATCTTTTGCTCTTCAATTTTTATAGTAAAATTCAAAGAATTGCGAAACTTACTAACAACAGAAGGCTAATGCTGTGCATCGTCATATTCAGTTTCTTAGTTCTCTAGTAAAAAAAAAATCTTTTCGTTCATTCAAAATATGCTTAATGAGTGGCGAATAATTATCCAAAGTTTCCTGAAATATTTCATCACATATAGAATACACTTCTTCGGGCGATTGTCCTTCACATTAAAGGCATTTTTTTTTTTTACTTCTTGCATGTGAATTAAAAGTTGCAACAGTTCCCACTCATGTTGAACAGGCCCGGCATGGCCAGGTGGTTACGGCGCTCGACTCGCAATCTGAGGGTCGCGGGTTCGAATCCCCGTCCCACTAAACATGCTCGCCCTTTCAGCCGTGGGGGCGTTATAAGGTGACGATCAATCCCACTATTCGTTGGTAAAAAAGTAGCCCAAAAGTTGGCGGTGGGTGGTGATGACTTGCTGCCTTCCCTCTATTCTTTCACTGTTAAATTAGGGACAGCTAGCGCAAATAGCCCTCGTGTAGCTTTAATAATAAAACTTTCAGCGTCAAAGTTTTGAAGTGTTTACACTCTTGACACCTGGATATATTATTTTTAGTTTCTCTACTTCACAACACTTCAGCTGAGTTGTTTATGTTTTGTTTTTTCTACGTTCGTGCATATAATATATTGTAACAGAAACTATAATTAGAACATTGTGGGGCTTATATTTATTTATTGATTAATCATCGCTTCTACAAATTTCTATAATAACTTTCAAATACAGAGATTTTCTCATCAAAGAGTTATTTTTACTGCAGATTCACCAGTTTGTACATCCACCGAAAACATAGTATATGGTGCTGCTCTTCATCAACCTGTTGAAGTGACCTGCGAATTGGACAGTGATCCGGAGAACGTGACCTTCACCTGGACATTCAATAATTCTATGATAAATAGTGATATTTTTTACGTCTATAGTGAAGGAGCGTCTAGCACACTAACTTATATCCCTACCTCCCAATCTGCGTTCGGAACGCTTACTTGTTCAGGAGCTAATAATGTTGGTCCTCAGTTGAAGCCATGTGTTTTCGCAATAGTTGCCGCAAGTAAGTAGAATATTTTTTATGTCACATGAATTTCACCCGAAGATAGTGAATAATAGAAAACCTGTTTGATTTGTAAATAAAGAAATAAACTTAAAAAAACCTATTGAGAAAACAAAATAATATTTCTGGTAGTAAAAAATAACCGCTTTAGCTGAAAATTAGGCAAAATGAGGTAGTAAAAGAACAGTGTGACAAAAGACGATATCCCCTTGATTGTATGTCCTATGATATCGAGATATAGCTATATATTATGTATCTGAATGTCTTAGTTGCGAAATACAGTATTCACGACTTCTCTATAAAAGTATTATACTCGGATTTCACGAAAAACTTTGTTGTATAATAGATATAAAACCGGCTAGATTCCAGGGCATTGTTGTATAAAAGATATATATCCTGCTAGGTTCCAGGGCATTTTTGTTTAGTTTATTATATGACCTAGTTTCTCAGCTTAGTGGGTATATTTCTATTATTTCTTATCTAAAGGACCGCCGGATCCTCTGATAAACTGCACTGTCATCAACCTGACCCAGACCATCATCGCGATGGAGTGTGTGGAAGGGTTTGATGGTGGAATTAGACAAGGTTTCTACTCAGAGGTCTTTGATAAAGCTCGAAATAATTTAAAGTCAAACTTTACCTCTCAAAGTCCGGTTTTTATTGCTGATGGACTTAACCCTGGAACACTATACGTAATGAAAATGTACGCCAATAACTTCCTAGGGAAAAGTGAACCCTTTCTGGCGAATGTTGAGACTTTACAAGCACCACCAGAACAGTCGAGACAGGGTTGGTTGTTTATTTATTTAGCTTGATTGTTTTCTAGTATAAATAGGTCATCAGTAACTGAAGTAATGCTAGACACTGTGCAAATAGAATCACTGGTGTAACTTGAAATAACATTATACAAAACTCTCACCGATTTAGTGCATTCAACTACTCTATTTTTGACAGAAGAACAAGAAATTCTTAAACAAGACGTCTACTATAGAAAAGTGCATGCATAATGCCATTATCAAATTCGTACTAAAAGCAAAATGTCTATCGAAACATTCTATTGTAAATATTTTTATTATCTGCTTCTTTAAAAGTATTCTCATTGTATCATTAAAGGAAATTTTTGTATTTTTATGCCTTAGCGAAAACTTTCCTAAAGGAAGGAGTTTTATCAATCAGAAAGTCAAACGTTTTTGCTGTTTTAGTTTCCATGCAAACAGTTTCGATCGCCCGTTCATGTGGTATCTTTTTTTTTTTTAGTTTCCTGTATCTAGCTTCTTTTACACATGGCGTGACAATTGCTTTGTTTGCTTTTCGACGTCTCAGTCTTCTGACTGTTCTCTTCTACCATTTTTTAATTTTTTTTTTTTAGCCATCATTCAATGTCTTTCACCGTTCATCGTTCCGCCAAACATACGAAGGCATCTTGACTTCATTAACACAGTAAATCTCTTTAGTTCCTATTCTGCCTTGAATTTCTTTGTTCATCCATTTGGTCCTCTCATTCAAAGATTCGTTCTTCAACACCATCCATCAAAAGCATCAGGACTATCTAACAGAGTCTACATTAGCAAGTAGTTCTAAGGTCCATATTGGGATGTGATATTATAAATTCCAATATATTTCACAGTACTGTTGAAATGATATGCATAGCTACACCAACATTCTTTTTTTTCTATTATAACTATACCAGTTTTTCTTTTACAGTAACCTTTTTTTAAACGGTCGTGTTTAAGTACAACGCTACGCAATGGACTCCCTGTGCTATGCCCACCGCAAGTGTCGAACTTCAATTTTAAGTGTTATAAGCCCATAATAATCTTAGCGTTCAGCCACTGAGGGCACCTTTTACATTTCCGTTTCTATCGTCAATGGCCTCGCGTTGGCCTAAAAATTAATTTTTTGTCACCATTATCCATTTTCCTTCAGTTTTCTTATTTGTGTCATCTTTATATGCTCACAAAATACTAAAGTCTCTGTATAAGATTCCAAACAGAGTTGTAACTAATTTTATAAAACGTACTTCATGATTTAGATTTAAATTTTACCTCTCAAGATCCGAAACTTTCTGCTAATGATCTTACCCCTAAAGACTGTATATACGCAATTATATTCAATCTTAAAATATTTATATCGGGGGGGGGGGGATTCATAAAAAGCTAATTTTGAACTGATAGATTAGAAGAAAGACAGCTAATCAACACCACCCACCACAAGCTCTTTGGCTTTTTTGGTTTAAACTATTTGTAGGATTTCACTGTCAGTTCTATAGAGTACCCACAACCCAAAATGCGGAGCACATTTTTTTCGAAATCGAGCCGCGAACCTTTAACCCTCGGATTCAAAGTCCAGCTTGTTAACCTCTAACGAACAACCGACCCCAATTTAAAAGTGATCCCTTTCCGACGAATATTGCAGACTTTACAAGTCATAGCTCTCTAGACTAGGCCAGGTTATTGTTTTTTCATTTATCTTGAATATTTAATATAATATGTAAACCAATCAATAATGACTGAATTAGTACCTGATACTGTACATACATCATAAGCACTAGTGTAACGTCAAAGAAAATTATAGGTGGAACAACACTCTTCAATAGTTTTCCGTCAATCATTTTATTTATAGGTGTTGTTTTTTTATAATCTTAGAAAGGACGTACCTGTTGTGATATTTGAAAAGCAATAATAAAATAACGCTTTCGCGGGTATGGATGTAAATAATACACTTAGTTTCCTCAACAAACAGAAAGTAATACCACTTTTAGTGCTAACACTCTAGATTTGTTGTTTCAATATAATTTTAGGCAGACTTAGTAGGCTTGAGAAGAGTATATGAATACAAAAATAGTTAAATATAGTTCAGAAGAATGTTTATTGTTTCGAGTCAACTTAGTTTGCTTATGTCATAGCAGAGCTGACCATTCTTCCAGTCGAAGCAAGTGTCGCGATACATATTGTCATTATGAAGAAAACTCCATATTTAAAATTATCGTATCTTAAAAGTTAGATGTCCTTAAAAGGACTAAATTTCACCAGAGGCGTATTGAGAATCGTAAGTTCCATTCAGGAACGTTCGATATTATTACCTAACTTGCTTTTTTTTCGCAACTTAGCATTGATTTTGTTTCTCTTCTTCCTCTCTGTTTCAAAAATACGAGATTAGAGATTTGGATAAAAAATGCGGATAATGAAAGGCTCAGTGAACACTATCCGGAGCATATTATGTTTGCAGTAGCTTCATTTAGAGGTAAGCTTTATAATATGGTACTTGAAAATAACAGAAATGCAAAACACCTTCTTTGACATTCTTTTAAACACCCTGTACCATATCCAAACTTTTCTGAAGAAAAACTTATGAATATCATTGTACTTCTAGTAAGTTTCTGTTGGTATAATCACGCTGTAGTAGCACAGAAGTGCAAAGTAGAGCACACATCTTGAAACCACACATCTTGACAACACAGTTACTTCCACTCGCTTACTCTCATATAAACGAGAAACTAGAAAGGAATAAAACGTCATTTATAATTATAACCTTATTCTGATATAAACACGTGACATTATGTTTGGAATTGTACAAGAAACGGAATAGAAAATGCGTATATTGATAGCTGTATATATATTATATGTTTTACACGTATAATCCAAGTCTTTATTACCACCACCGTTGAGTTTGTACAAGTAATTCAACATGATAGTTTATCTTCGGTTTCCTTTTTTTTTAAATTGGCGAATTTTTCCCTAAGATTCAGGTTAACGTAAAGTAGCCACACCTAATCACTAATTTTTACAGCGAAAGAAGGAGTCATTAAACTTGGAAGACGGCATTAAAACTATGTTTCTTAATTTTTAGCAGGCCAATATTGATATAGATTTTCTGTATATATTGCCCTTCATTTGAAAATAAATTGAAAAATTCAACCTTCTTTATAATGATTAAAATTTTGGGTTTGATATTTGCTTTATTTTATTTTTTCAACCTGAATGGTACATTATGTGACACGTAGAATAACGACTAGCTAAGAAACCACAGTGTTCAAACACTTTAGAACACTAGCCTAAAGGAAGAAAACCAGTCAGCATTATCTGCCTCTTACACGGTTACTCTTAATCGAATTACAAGATTGGTTATTTCGGTTATAACGTTCTAACGGCAGAAAGTAATCTGCAGCATAACACTGCTCAAACCAATGTTCTCTCTTATCCATAGACTATCGTCCCCCAGACTTACAACGCTAAAATCCGGGGTTCTATTCTCCAACGCTGACAGAGCAGATAGTCCAATGTGGCTTTGCGCTAAAACAAATAAACAATAAAAAAATCCAAAACGCAGCACACTTATCATTAGGTTATTCCTTGTCCGAATTTGTATATCAATTGACAGGTTTTCATTTCAGTATACAGTATAAAGCTTTGCAAAAACGTAATTAGTGATAAATGTATCATTTTGTCATTCCATATTTTTACTTCAAGGTTAAAAAAAGTAAACCAAATCGCATGTACTCTACAATAGTTAACTATCAACTACCAAACCAGCTTATTTAACATTTACTTTAAAGGAGCATGATTACTTATCACTTTTCACAAAATTAAAAGCTTTCCTTTAAAAAAAAAATGGAATTCCCTTCACGCTTAAAAACAAAGAATTATCGCACAAGTTATTCTAACAAAGATTATGGCGAATAACCTGCATGCATTACAATGTTGTCGTTTTTTAATAAGACACATTTATTCCTCCAAGTAAATCACATGATGTTGACCATATCTCAAATTGTACGAGCAATGTTTTTGATTTATCTGCCTATATTTTCGGCCAGTGTACAAAGGCAAAAATGTTAGACTTGGTCAAACACTCTTTTGACCTCTTTCATTCTTAATTATAAAGTAATTACAATTGGATGTTTTTTCTCATTAATTAAATCGGAATTTTAACTGGTTTATGTTTTAGTCGTTTGTCAGTCGTCTGCGACGGTGGTTATTTCGTGAAGCGTGTACTTTTCCGGAAAGTTTAATTGTTTACGTGGGATGTTATATCCCATCACTCTATGATTGCGTCTGCACCTTCTGACTGACTTGTAAAATGTTTTCAGTAAGCGTACATAGTTTGAGAAGCTTTTTTCATTCAGGCATACAATTAAATATATGTTATGTCGCTGCCTCTCTCAAGCGGATTCTTCGCTATTGGTTTCTAAACCAGTTTGGGCGCAATTATTCCTGGTGGTTGTATATAGTGGTCAGGAACTGCTCGTTCCAATCTGCACATATTTGAATTTTGGTCTGGATGACTTGTGGTAAGTCAACATAGTCTGTATTTGTTTGAATCGTTACTAGAACGTTTCTTATAAAAGAAACTTTAATTGTTACCTCTCTTTTAGATTTATGTTGAGAAAAGAGGATTACAATATTAAACTCTTGAAGATATAATCTACTTTGGAAGTTGTCATAGCAACGCATTTTTAAAATTGTAGCAATAGTAATTTCTGTTTTTTTCATGTATTTATATTTATTTATGTTTCTGAACGAATGATTGTCAAAACTATTTACCAATGAGCTCATCAAACTTCCCAGAGACCGCATTTAAAATAATAATTTAGACGGAAAGCAACCGCCATTTTTTTTATTCGCATCAGTGTAATATTCACGAAGAAATAATATCTTATCGAGAAAGCAAGAGCGGCTTTTATCCGTTTCGCTTCCATAACAAATCTTCATTTTATGTTATGGTGCATCAAATTCCAGAAAAAATGTAGCTCCAATTTTTCAAAACTGGGGGGTTCATATTTCGGGTTCCATAGTTCAACATCAAAATTTTTAATTGCTTTTACATTTAATTTATTTATTTATTAAAAAAACAAAGACTTGTATCGATATTTTTATAAGAAATTCAAGTATTCTAATCTGAACATCTCTGAAGTACATGACACGGAAAACAAGAGGCGTCATACTTTTTTAACAAAACATGAATCTTTTTTTTGTCCATTTCTTTTATAGCAACACTAACAAAAGTAGTCCATCAATTAACTGAGACTGGAATATTCTTGTGTTTTGTTTGAAGGAAATATTCAGAATTTAAAATAAGTTGCTGCAATCACTGCCTTTTTCAGTTATGATGCATTCCTTTTTAACTTTCAAAGCTAATCACAATCGTGTCTGGAATAAATTTAATGACGGCTGGATTAATCTTGTCTTCTGCATCCAGGTGTAAGGAGCTGTATGTAATAGATCTTCCTCTTTCCTTAGATTCTCTGACTTACACAATCTAATTCAATGAATTAAACTATACTTATGCTAATTTTATAGACATAGTTCTTATTGCGGTACATCCTAATACATTACATCAATGAAAGTTTTGGTATTTTCTGTAGCTACATATGTTAAGTTGTATGAGGTCATCCTTGCGTCCAAAAACCAAATGTATATAAAACCTCCTTATGCTTAGCTTTTACATAAACTTCTTACGATTCCTTCTTTATGAAGTTCTGTGAAGAAGAAATCTCTTCGCTTAGCTTGTAATTACATGTCTTGTTGATGTCCTTTGAATCTACATGTATGAAATTGTGTGTGTTAAATTATCCTTGTAGTGCATACCTCTGTTTTTCTGGAGAGCCACTGCATCCAGATACAGAAGATATGTGTAGTAAATACCTTTATGCTTAGCTAAATATGATTATGCTTGAGTTGTTGGTTTTTATTTTGTTGTTGTTGTTTTTTTTGGTATTGTTATAATACAAAATAATGAATGTTTTGAGTTCTTAAATTCTGGAAAGATTAGTTCTAGATGAAAGCTTGATCTATCATGTGAACTAACCATTTCAAGTCATTTCGCAAGCTACCAATAGAAAGTTCCTCCTGTTTTCTTTTCTTTTTTTTTTTTTTGTTTTTTCTCTTTTATGAAATAGCCCTTACGAATTTTTGATAGTTCTTATGCGATTACGACACAACCTTTAAAAGCTTGTTCTCCTTATATCGTTATTTTCTGTAAAGAAAACCTTTGGGAGTGATTCACGTGCAATATCTGAAAATGGCACAATAATTCAATTTTGAAGCTTCTTTTCTGTCTGAACTATTCGTTTCCCTTCCACAAGAAACGAAACTACACATCATTTATTCTCTAAGATCAAAATTGAATATTATTTATTTACTGATTAAGCGTCAATAATTCAATTCTTTAAAAAAACAAAGAATCAAATCTAAATTTAAAATTAACTCTCTTTTTTTTTTGCTATGATATAGACTATCAAAACTTTTTTTTTTAATTTTGTTTGTTCTCTTAAAGATGACCGCCAAAATTGGTCAATATAAGATTAAAATTAACCCTTGCATAGTATAGAATAGAATGTCAATATGAATATATATATGATGATTTTCAGACAACTGAGAACAGTGGTGGGGAAAGGTATAACTTAAAACTAGAAAGTGCCAATGTTATATTTACCTCCGCAATTCTTTTCATGTATTACCTTATTGAATTTATGTACTAACAATAAACATTAAAACTGGAAAACATCGTCAATATCGTTACTTAAAGTGTTTTATAAAATGTATTGTTAAGGAACAATATATGTAACTTACGAATACGTGGGAACATTTCTCTGACTAGCCAACATATAAAAAATAAGTTATAATTCTTAACTTAAGACAGAATATAGTTTGCTTTATAATCCTTGGTAAAATGCGGTCGTTTAGTTAACTTTCCTATGAAAGAATAATATCATATGTTTCATTATGCATTCAACGTAAAATATTAAACTTCACACAGTATTTCATTTCGAGTTCCTATTAATTCTAAGTGACGCCTTTTACAGTGAGTTTTGTAAAAATGGGCTTAAAAAGCCGATACATTTATAAAGTGAGGAGAAATTTAAATAGTTTCGATATTGTTTTTAGTTCTGAACTAAAGTTATTGTTCAATAATATATAAAAGCCTCTTTATTCCTTATTTTTTTTACAGATATAGGTTGGCATCTCCAAGTGAAGGTGATCCTGATATCAGGAGTGTCTGTTGTGTTAGTGCTAATTCTTTTTGTTGCATGTGCCATCATCTTATTGAAAACTAGGACACCCAACCGATGGAAAGGTAGTAAGCATAAAAAATAATGTTTTTTGTACTGTAATGTTTAAATCAGAAAGTAATGAACCACTAGTAATCATAAGATGATATGCTTAGTTTGAATACAACCACAACGCGATTATCACCGAAACGTACTTTTAACTGAACACAATTTCTGAACAAACAAAACATATAAAACAAAATGTAAAGTGATTATTATTATATAATTGTACTTATATTTAAAGCACATTATTTCTCGTATTCGTCGTAGGATGTTAATATTTAACTCTAAACTGTTTAAATGAAAGTAAATGGTAATTTAAGCTTGTACACACATTAAGAGAAAATAGACATAGAGGAAAATATTTAAGAAAATAATAATAATAATAAATATTATAAATTATGTATCTGTTCAAGTAGTTAGATAAAAATCCAACTTAGAGTAGGTATAACCTTTTTTCTTAATTTTTCCTTTACTTATTTGTTAAATAGTTTAGACACAAGATAGGAGCTATTCCTGTGAGTCGTAGTTCTATACACAGCTTAGTAAGTTCAAATGGATATCACATACAATATACATAACGATAAATATAATGAAATAACAAATAGCGCGATTGGTGTGTCATCAAGGATGTCAGTAAACAGTATAAAATATTTAATTTTGTGAATATGTTTGCAAGTTGCATATATAAATATAATCTGTCTACAGATGTATAGGCAAGCATTATAGTGTTGTGTGTGTGCGCAATAATTAATATTTGTCCTACATCCAGATGTATTGCTTTCATTCTGCAACTTAAAAGCCAATTAAATTTTGTAACGTTCTGCTGCAACGCAAGTGAAGGGAAAAAAAACACTTTATTTCGCAATTTTTTCGAGTCTGTTTTATCATTACAGTTTGTGCAATTTAGTTTACCTTTAATATTTTTGAATGATTATTTCTCTGTAACACAGTTAATGTGAAAATTGTTAATTCATTTCCAGAAAGCAGTTAGCATCATAAGAGCATCTTAAATCGAAAAAAAAATCCAAAGTAGTAGTGAATCTAAATCCAAAGTATTTTTATAATTTAAAATAAAATTTTCAAATATCTTATAACAAGACGAAAATACGTTATCAAATTATGTCTATTTACATTATTATAATCTATTATTATTGCTTAATAAAGATTATTAAAATATATTTTTTTCATATTCTTATGAAATGAATCCTCGAACAAACTCACTTATAGATGTCACTATTTTACACGAGGATCCAACAAGCTCACAAGTTTAAAAAATAACGTGAACAATAAGGTTAGAAACACAAATTCGTCATTCACTGTAGAATAATCTCATTGGAAGGAAAAGTTTTGCCAGGGTTTTTTTTTTGTTAAATTTCGCGCAAAGCTACTCAACGGCCATCTACGCTAACCGTTCATAATTTTTAAGTGATAGACTAGAGACTGAACACCACCCAGCGCCAAGTCTTAGGTTTCTCTTTGCCAATGAATAGCGGGATTGACCGTAACATTATAATTCCAAAACAGCTAAAAAGGGCGAGCATGTTCGGTAAAGAGCTTTTATCTTTCGACCTACAGATTTCGAACCGAGCTCTCTAACCACCAGACCATGCCAGTTTGTTCAGTATGGACATTAGCATATATCGAAGATTAATCAAATATCGATAGATAAAATTAGTTTTTAAATCTGACAAGTATAATATACAAAGTAATCACATCTTGTATCATTCGTTTAAGAGACAATTTCATAGTCAAAAACATTTTTGCAGGATAATAATTTATCATCAAAAATCTGTATGAAACCATTTTAACAGCAGCAGCAAGCAGAAGTACAAAATGTGAAAGTGTCTCTACACTAGAAAAAAAAAGTTGTATTGTAAATTAGCAAAAACATTGTGTTCCCTAAACTCAGACTGTTGTAGCGATAAACTTGCATGTCTTGCGTGTTTTGTAGCAAAATAAAAGACGTGCGGTTTTCAATTCAAAATTGTGTTTATATAAAAACATTGTTGTATGAGGTAAAATCACGTTTTATTGTGATCTTAGAAAGTGGGTCTTACAAAATGACCTGTGTTAGGAAATGGTTTTTACAAAATGACCTGTGTTAGGAAGTAGTTTTACAAAATTATCTGTCTTAGGAACTGATTTTACAAAATGATCTGTGTTACGAAGTAGGTTTATAAAATGACCTGTGATAGGAAGTAGTTTGACAAAATGATCTCCGTTAGGAAGTAATTTTACAAAATGACCTGTGATAGGAAGTAGTTTGACAAAATGATCTCCGTTAGGAAGTAATTTTACAAAATAACCTGTGATAGGAAATAGTTTTACAAAATGTGCTACGAAGTGGTATGAAGATAGTGTCCAATGGAACACAAGTGTTGTGCATCAGCCAACACATTTTTGTTCAGTTTTTTATCCCACAGTGACAATATTGTTTTTAATTTTAACTTGTGTTTTAGGCATTCAAGCGTTTGTTGTGTTGTCTTAAGACAAGTTTCTTTGCTTTTTACAGTAGAATTACTGTCTTCTAGGGGTGACATTCAGGTTACCACCATTTTTTAAGGCCTAATATAAACTTGTTGAAAAGTGATCCTTTGATTAAGCTTTATCCTCTACCTAATTCTAAGAACTTATGAGTAAAATTAAAGCGTAATGTATAAATTTGACTAATATAACCACGCATCCAGACGATGACCATATACGATGTTCTCTGACACCTCATTGGTTCTTCGGGTTGCAGTCACCATGGGATCAGCTATCAATGAAATCACGAGCAGTATTATGATTGGCTCGACTTTATGGTCAAAAGTCTAAATAATGAGGCTAATTTAGGCGTAAAAAGATGACCAGTAATTTTCATTTGCCCCTTGGTTGTTTTGGCTCTCTGGTTTGCATAAAAACAAACGAGGCAAATCTGTTTTAGTTCTGATACTTTTTATGTAATTGATATATCATTTCTGATCTCGATGTCCCGACTCTTATATGAAATTACTAAAGCATAAAGAACACTTTGTTTATTTATTTGGTGTTAAGCAACAAAAAAAAACTATCTGCATTGTGCCCACAACAAGCATCGAAACCCGGGTTTTAACGTTACAAGCCTTAAGATTTACCGCTGAGCCACTGGGAGGTGAAGAATGGTCGTAAAACTTCTACTAATAGTTTAATTTTTAATTCGGATTAAACAGATATTACTGCACGTTTTTTGAATAATATTATTGTTGTTATTCTAAGTTAAATTAACCTTCATTGGACAGTAATAATCAGAATAATAATTCAGCAATTAAAGTGACCGTGTTCGTCAACTTATATAGCGTTGAATAAACAGTGATGAAAATACAAAAAGCAACATTTATGTTTTATTAAAAGGCTAAAATTCAAGGAACTTGTGCATATATTCAAAATATATTAAAATACTCAAACGATCAACATTGTTTAATACACACTTAAAATCTTTATTTCAAGATCGATCAACGGTCTTGAAAGACGCTCTATATGTTTCGACGTCGATTTTAATTGTGTACTAAAACAACGTTGATCATTTGAGTATTTTAATACATTTTATATATTTATGTTTGAGTACATGCCTAACTATTGCGTAAATTGTGTAAGATGGGTAAGTTTGGAAGGCAAGCCTTCTTTATCAAACGTGAGGGTAGAAGGTCCATCTTTCTAACTCTTTAGTGACTCCAAGATCCAGAACACTCACCAGAATTTTACGTTCTCACAGAGAAATACTTAACTAGGATCAGGAAGCTTGAAACAAGCGTTTGAAACGCATCTAGTTTCTGCATGTATAATTTGATTTAGTGAGCGTATAATGTTTTCGGTTGTAAATTTTTTGAAAGTTTATTGTGAAACACTGTTTTGAAAAAACAATCAAATAGTTGCTTCCATATTTTTTCTTCTTATTTTTTTTGAGTCAGAAAGTTTCGTTTTATATACTCAATCAATTTTCACTTGTTGATTTCTTTAGAATATTTATTTTGATACCCTTATTTTGCCGATTGAAGCAGTCGACTTACAGCTATAAATCAAACAAAAACAACAAGACTGAGACAGATTTGCTGGTGATGAATGACCTCATTATTCAAAACGATGTCATCGTTACCTCTAAAGGGTGCTGTATCATGATGCTTTTTAGTTGAGGTCACTTTATGAATAATATTTACTAAAACAGGGAAATAATTGTATTTCTGTGTTTCGTTTGAAAACAATGATCTTAACAATATATTAAATACAAAAACGTTTTAGATCATTTGCATAACTTGCTGTCGCCTAAATGTTCTTACCTAAATTGTAACAGATTATTTGGGCTGTGTTTGTTTGATGATGAGAGAAGGTTGATTATGAAATCCAACAGAGTCACTCACTGACTCTCTCGTCAGAGGATTCAGTGTTTCCAATCCTCTTGGAGTCCATAATCAACCTTCTCTCGTCCTAATCTAAAATTTTCTCTTACAAAAATATAACTTTAATGTCTAACAGACATAATATAATACGTAAGAAAAGAACATCTTCAAAAACTATAACACAATCTTGCTTCAAAATGATAAGTGAATATTTAAACATTTCGCCTTTCGTTTGCTGTGTTATCAATGATTGCACTAACTTCATATTTTTAAAATGCGTCGCTAATTTCCACACTGCACTATTGTACTCTCCACTATGAAGCGTTAAACATCAAGATTTTCCCTTTCAGAAGGTTATTTGCTAAAGGCGGTAGCTCTTTTTCAAAGTTATGACCCACTAAAAGTTCTAAAAAAACTCTATAGGTGGTACGTTAAAAGTGACTTCAACCAATAAGAAGTTCCTAAATAAACAAGAAAAATACGTAGAAATAGAAATCAAACGTCGAGTAAACCAAAAGTGTTGACATGTACTTGTGATAACCACACATAAGCTTAGAAGCAAACAAGAAAATTAAAAATAAATCTTGAAGTGTAATGTTTATAGTTCGAGCAACTAGAAATACCATGGAAATAAAAGTTTGGACTATTTCTTTCTAATTTCCATTCAAAAAATAAATTAGATTAGAAAAAAGAAAACCCCTTAGAAAAGAAAACTGTCCAGATCATAAATTATCGGTTTCGAAGATGGTCATTTTAGTTACATCAGAATTTGTTTAGAGATAAGCCTGAATATATACAAAAATCGTTAATGCCATTTTTTAAACTGATTAAAGTGAATCCACAAAGATTGTATTTGTTTTGTTGCCTCATGTAACTCAGGTTTTCGTGGATTGGCTTGAAACCATGCTTCTCATCCTGTAGTTCCTCAACCAAAATCAATACTTTACGTTGTAGTTCCTATAAGCAAACATATGTAATGTAGCTATAGAAACAAACATTAGGCCTTCATTTGCAAATATAT